TCACAGCAATACACCCTGGCTCACAGCAATACACCAGTCTCACAGCAATACACCCTGGCTCACAGCAATACACCCTGGCTCACAGCAACACACCCTGGCTCACAGCAATACACCCTGGCTCACAGCAATACACCCTGGCTCACAGCAATACACCCAGTCTCACAGCAATACACCCAGTCTCACAGCAAACACCCTGGCTCACAAGCAATACACCCGTCTCACAGCAAACACCCTGGCTCACAGCAATACACCCAGGCTCACAGCAACACACACCAGGCTCACAGCAATACACCCTGGCTCACAGCAACACACCCTGGCTCACAGCAATACACCCATTCACAGCAATACACCAGTCTCACAGCAACACACCCTGGCTCACAGCATAATCCAGTCTCCAGCCACACCTGGCTCACAGCAATACACCCTGGCTCACAGCAATACACCCTGGCTCACAGCAAACACCCAGTCTCACAGCAATACACCCTGGCTCACAGCAACACACCCTGGCTCACAGCAATACACCAGTCTCACAGCAATACACCCTGGCTCAAAGCATACACCCGCTCACAGCAACACTACCACTGGCTCACAGCAACAACCCTGGCTCACAGCAATACACCCAGTCTCACAGCAATCACACCCTGGCTCACAGCAATACACCCTGGCTCACAGCAATACACCCTGGCTACAGCAATACACCCTGGCTCACAGCAATACACCCTGGCTCACAGCAATACACCCAGTCTCACAGCAATACACCAGTCTCACAGCAAACACCCTGGCTCACAGCAATACACCTGGCTCACAGCAATACACCCAGTCTCACAGAATACACCCGGCTACAGCAACACCCTGGCTCACAGCAATACATCCAGTCTCACAGAAAATACACCCTGGCTCACAGCAATACACCCTGGCTCACAGCAACACACCCTGGCTCACAGCAACACACCCTGGCTCACAGCAATACACCCTGGCTCACAGCAACACATCCTGGCTCACAGAAATACACCCTGGCTCACAGCAACACACCCTGGCTCACAGCAATACACCCGTCTCACAGCAAACACCCATGGCTCACAGCAACACACCCTGGCTCACAGCAATACACCCTGTCTCACAGCAACACACCCTGGCTCACAGCAATACACCCAGTCTCACAGCAATACACCCAGGCTCACAGCAACACACCCTGGCCCACAGCAATACACCCAGTCTCACAGCAATACACCCAAGCCCACAGCAACACACCCTGGCTCACAGCAATACACCCTGGCTCACAGCAATACACCCTGGCTCACAGCAACACACCCTGGCTCACAGCAATACACCCTGGCTCACAGCAATACACCCTGGCTCACAGCAATCACATCCTGTCACAGCAATACACCCAGTCTCACAGCAACACACCCTGGCTCACAGCAATACACCTGCTCACAGCAATACATCCAGTCTCACAGCAACACACCCGTCTCACAGCAATACACCCTGGCTCACAGCAATACACAGGCTCACAGCATACACCCTGGTCAAGCAATACACCCTGGCTCACAGCAAACACCCTGTCTCACAGCAATACATCCAGTCTCACAGCAATACACCCTGGCTCACAGCAATACACCCTGGCTCACAGCAATACACCCTGGCTCACAGCAACACACCCTGGCTCACAGCAATACACCCTGGCTCACAGCAATACACACCTGGCTCACAGCAATACACCAGCTCACAGAAACACCCTGGCTCACAGCAATACACCCTGGCTCACAGCAATACACACAGTCTCACAGCAATACACCCTGGCTCACAGCAACACACCCTGGCTCACAGCAATACACACAGTCTCACAGCAATACACCCTGGCTCACAGCAATACACCCTGGCTCACAGCAATACACACAGTCTCACAGCAATACACCCTGGCTCACAGCAACACACCCTGGCTCACAGCAATACACACAGTCTCACAGCAATACACCCTGGCTCACAGCAATACACCCTGGCTCACAGCAATACACACAGTCTCACAGCAATACACCCTGGCTCACAGCAATACACCCTGGCTCACAGCAATACACCCTGGCTCACAGCAATACACCCTGGCTCACAGCAATACACCCTGGCTCACAGCAATACACACAGTCTCACAGCAATACACCCTGGCTCACAGCAATACACACAGTCTCACAGCAATACACCCTGGCTCACAGCAACACACCCTGGCTCACAGCAATACACCCAGTCTCACAGCAATACACCCTGGCTCACAGCAATACACCCTGGCTCACAGCAATACACACAGTCTCACAGCAACACACCCTGGCTCACAGCAATACACCCTGGCTCACAGCAATACACACAGTCTCACAGCAACACACCCTGGCTCACAGCAATACACCCTGGCTCACAGCAATACACACAGTCTCACAGCAATACACCCTGGCTCACAGCAATACACCCTGGCTCACAGCAACACACCCTGGCTCACAGCAATACACCCTGGCTCACAGCAATACACCCAGTCTCACGGCAATACACCCTGGCTCATGGCAACACACTCAGGCTCACAGCAACACACCCTGGCTCACAGAAACACACCCTGGCTCACAGCAACACACCCTTGGCTCACAGCAACACACCCTGGCTCACAGCAACACACCCTGGCTCACAGCAACACACCCTGGCTCACAGCAATACACCCAGTCTCACAGCAACACACCCTGGCTCACAGCAACACACCCTGGCTCACAGCAACACACCCTGGCTCACAGCAATACACCCTGGCTCACAGCAACACACCCTGGCTCACAGCAATACACCCTGGCTCACAGCAATACACCCAGTCTCACGGCAATACACCCTGGCTCATGGCAACACACCCTGGCTCACAGCAACACACTCAGGCTCACAGCAACACACCCGGGCTCATGGCAACACACCCTGGCTCACAGCAACACACCCTGGCTCATGGCAACACACCCTGGCTCACAGCAACACACCCTGGCTCATGGCAACACACCCTGGCTCATGGCAACACACCCTGGCTCACAGCAACACACCCTGGCTCATGGCAACACACCCTGGCTCATGGCAACACACCCTGGCTCATGGCAACACACCCTGGCTCACAGCAACACACCCTGGCTCATGGCAACACACCCTGGCTCATGGCAACACACCCTGGCTCATGGCAACACACCCTGGCTCATGGCAACACACCCTGGCTCACAGCAACACACCCTGGCTCATGGCAACACACCCTGGCTCATGGCAACACACCCTGGCTCACAGCAACACAATCAGGCTCACAGCAAAACACCCTGGCTCATAACAACACACACAGTCTCACAGAAACACACCTTGGCTCACAGCAACACACTCAGGCTCACAGCAACACACTCAGGCTCACAGCAACACACCCAGGCTCACAGCAACACACTCAGGCTCATAACACACACAGTCTCACAGAAACACACCTTGGCTCACAGCAACACACTCAGTCTCACAGCAACACACTCAGTCACCCCCAGTTGATCATCTCAATGGTCTAATACGTGTCCAACTGGCTGTTCAATATGTGTCCATCTGACTGACTATTATGTGATACGTAGCATGTTTATATAATTTTCCAAAACATGTCATTGCTGGATTATTAAAAATGTTTATGATAATGTAAATATACAACATTTTTAGTGCCCCAGAGCAACATTCTTCCTATGTTACTGCATCTTTAACACAAGTGAAACACTCTCGTAGCTACTCCCTCGCCTGGCTTAGCTTTTACTTTTTAACTTTTTACCACAACTACCCTTAGATGCCATTTTAACACAAAAATAGTATGATACAGTAAGTTCTCAGCTTACAAATACATTGAGAGTCTTCTGTCTTGTGTACAATATGATTATTATTATATCTTTATTGTGCACATTATTATATCATTATTATACATAATAAAGAAGGTCCCCAACATGGAATATGATTTGTTTTTTCAATAAGTTGGCCGTCTCCCACCAAGGCAGGGTGACCCAAAAAAAGAAAGAAAATCCCCAAAAAGAAAATACTTTCATCATTCAACACTTTCACCTCACTCACACAATCACTGCCTTTGCAGAGGTGCCCAGATACAACAGTTTAGAAGCATATATAACATATCCCTCCAAACTGCCAATATCCCAAACCTCTCCTTTAAAGTGCAGGCATTGTACCTGATGATTCAGGCCCCCAATGTGTTTGTAAGTTGAAGACATACTGCATACATAATAACTTTAAAACGTTTGAAACTTTGGAAAGTTTCCAGACAGAATCAGGAGACGTGAAGCTCACATTAGATGTATCACAAAGTGTGTGGCGTGTGCACGCCATAATAGCAAATCAGGAGCTGTATAAACAAATTTTGGGGTATAATTTGAAATGTCCATATTGGCAAATCATCATAAAGTGAAGCATAGTAAAGCAGACCCCTCCTGTATTCAATCTCAAAAAAAGTCCTTGGTGAAAAATAGAGGAACAACTTGAATTTCACGCAATCATATATCATAAGAACATCCATACGTTTCTGACCCAAGGCCGGGCTCCAGTAGAAAAACTCTTGGAACTCATTATAAGTACAGTAGTCTCCCCTATATCCACAGGGGACATGTTCCAAAACCTACAGCGGATAGTATTGAACCCTATATATAAGTCGTTTTTTGTTTACATACATACCTATGATAGTTTAACTGATAAATTATGTACAATAAGTCAAAAATTAGCACCTTTTCACTGATGAGAAGCACTTCACAGCTTCTCTTAGGCTTTGAGGAACTGCCATTATCACTACTTTTGTGCTTTGTAGCCATTATTAGGCAAAATTAAAGGTTATTTTCAGGCCACGGTAAACTGACACTGCAGAAACTGAATCCATGGATACAGGTGTTTTATTGTGTAAAGGTATGACTAACACCTGCTCCTAAAATATCTTTACTTGCATAACATTTCTAGGATGATAAATCTTGACTTACTTAGATTAGAAAGTGTGTTTGGATTGACATAAAGATCTTTGGACCATTCCACCATGCACTTGAGGGTGGAGACAAGGCACTCTAGTCCCTTGATCCTCATGCTGCGCTCATGTTGCAGTGTAAATCCAAACTCTCCTGGCTGCCCTCCCTGAGCTATTTTACTCAAGTCATTCACCAGTCTGTGAAAAATATACGTAACAGTTTAATAGTGGAAATGATCACACTCATAAGGAAGATAATTACTGTACTCGCAAAACAGTGCAAAACTTGTGTGGTTCACACTCGTAAGAAAGATTATTACTGTATTTTCAAAAAATGAAATATGTAAAATAAAATTGTAATGCAAAATAAATTTACAAAGTGTGCATAGATAGAAAAAAAAGAAAAAAAAACAGGGTAATAGATAACTTTTAAATTTCTTAAAGAAAAGACAACATCCATCTCTCTTGCACATCGTTATATCACCATGTCTTTCCTATCTGAAATTCTTTGCCTAAGTTTCTAAGCACTAAACCTAACTTCCTCATTAGTTTTTGATTTCTCTAAAAGAAACTCAACCCCTTGATTGCTCAGTACCCATTTAGCAAAGCTGCAACGAGGTCAAGAGATTTTGCCATGAGTGATATGAACTACACATACAGTGGACCCTCGAATTTTATCATCCCTTTTCTGTATGTAAAACTATAGCTATTCTTTATAAAACGGAGAGAAATGGAACGAAACAGAATGACTTCGAGAGTATATAAATTTGTAGTGGAGGGAAGGCGGGGTAGGGGTCAACCTAGGAGAGGTTGGAGGGAGGGGGCAAAGGAGATTTTGTGTGCGAGGGGTTTGGACTTCCAGCAAGCATGCGTGAGCGTACTTGATAGGAGTGAATGGAGATAAATGGTTTTTAATACTCGACGTGCTGTTGGAGTGTGAGCGAAGTAACATTTATGAAGGGTTTCAGGGAAACCGACAGGCCGGACTTGAGTCCTGGAGATGGGAAGTACAGTGTCCACACACTCTAATGGAGGGGTGTTAATGTTGCAGTTTTATAAATTGTAGTAAAGCACCCCTCTGGCAAGACAGTGATGGAGTGAATGATGATGAAAGCTTTTCTTTTTTGGGCCACCCTGCCTTGGTGGGAATCAGCTGATGTGTTAATAAAATAAATAAAAACTAGTTTTACATACAGAAAAGGGATGATGAAATTCGAGGGTCCACTCCTGAGTGCACTATATGTGTTATCAGATCACAGAGTGATGTGAACTGTAAAATGTAATATACCTTTCAAAAACATTGGCAGCATTGAGATCACAGTCATAATTAACATATATGTCCACCACTGACTGGGCATCAGCACAGATCCGTGTCAGTGCTTGGATTACCATCCACTTGTGTTGAAAGCTGGAACTGCCTGCCTCAAGGATGTTAAGAAAGATCTCCTTGAAAAACACCTGCAAATATAATTTTAGAAATTATTAGTATAGAAATTAGAAAAGAGTGTGGAGTTATGAAAGGTATTATTATTATTACGATCAGAAAGAAGTGCTAAACCTCAAGGGTTATACAGCATACGAAAGGTATTAGACAGCGGGTAGAGGAGTGGTTATTAGGTGGTGTGGGCATTTGGTGTGGACAGAGAATAAGACGACCAAAAGGCTGTATAATCTAGGGTGGCGGAAGGGAGGTAGAATCATCTCAGGAATGGCTGCAGGGAGGGCATGATAGAGGCTTTAAGTGGAAAGAGATTGAGCATCCAAAAGGAGCATGTATGTGCTCATGTTCATGCATGTTTGTGTATGCACATTAGATGTCGTGGAGAGATGTAATGTGCGTACATGTAATGTGCATACATGTAAAGTAATGAAGGGATTCAGGGAAACCAGTAAGCCAGACTTGAGGCTTAGAAAATAATAAGCCTGCATTTTGAAGGAAGGGTGTGGATGTTACAGTTCGAAGTGTCATTTGAATGATGTCTGTGCACTTCTGGCAAGACAGCTACTAAACAAATGATGGTGAATGTTTCCCCTTTTTTTTTTTTTTTGGGTCACCCTACCTTAGTTGGAGATGGCCAATGGGGTTGAAAAAATTTTACTGCTAAAAATAATTAATATTTAAAACTTCATACAATTTACACAAAAATATTCCACTATTGTAATACATAAAACTATTATATTTGTGGGAAAATGCTAAACTTATAAGGGTAACAACATAGCACCAGGGGAGGCACTCACATTTGATCCAAGGAAAGGGTGCCTCCAATTCCTCAGATCAAGCCCTTTACCACCATCAAAGGGGAAAAAAAAACTTTAATTTTTTTTTAACACGTTGGCCATTTCCCACTGAGGCAGGGTGACCCAAAAAGAAAGAAAAACCCAAAAAGAAAGAAAGAAAAAGAAAAATTCAGAAATCATTTAACACTTTTACCATCATTCATACATAATCACTGTCTTTGCAGAGGCACTCAGATGCGACAGTTTAGATTCACTCCAAACTGCAAATATCTCAAACCCCTCCTTTGAAGTGCAGACATTGTACTTCCCATTTCCAGGACTCAAGTTTGGCTAACCAGTTTCCCTGAATCCCTTCACAAAATATTACCCTACTCACACTCCAACAGCTCGTCAAGTCCCAAAAGCCATTCATCTCCATTCACTCCTATCTAACATGCTCACACATGCTTGCTGGAAGTCCCAGCCCCTCGCACACAAAACCTCCTTTACCCCCTTCCCTCCAACCTTTCCTAGGACGACCCCTACCCCGCCTTCCTTCCCCTACAGATTTATACACTCTCCAAGTCATTCTACTTTGTTCCATTCTCTCAAAATGATAAAACAACCTCAACAAACCCTCTCCAGCCCTCTGACTAATACTTCTAGTAACTCCACACCTCCTAATTTCCACACTACAAACTCTCTGCATAATATTTACACCACACATTGCTCTTAGACATGACATCTCCACTGCCTCCAGCCCCCTCCTCACTGCAGCATTTACAACCCAAGCTTCACACCCATATAAGAGTGTTGGTACCACTATACTCTCATACATTTCCTTCTTTGACTCCATGGATAATGTTTCTTTTTTTTGTCTCCACAGATACCTCAAAGCACCACTCGACTTTTTTTCTTCATCAATTCTATGGTTAACCTCATGCTGCATAAACCCATCCGCTGACAAGTCAACTCGCAAATATCTGAACACATTCAGTTCTCCCATACTCCCTCCTTCCAATGTGATATCCAATTTTTCTTTATCTAAATCATTCGATACCCTCATCAACTTACTTTTATCTATGTTCACTTTCAACTTTCTACCTTTACACACACACTCCCAAACTTGTCCACTAACCTCTGTAACTTTTCTTTAGAATCTCTCATAAGCACAGTATCATCAGCAAAAAGTAACTGTCAACTCCCATTTTGTATTTGAATTCCCCATAAGTTAATCCCTAAATCCCTTCACAAAATATTACCCTGCTCACACTCCAACAGCTCATCAGGTTCCAAAAACCATTTATCTCCATTCACTCCTATCTAACACGCTCACGCACGCTTGCCGGACTTAAGTCCTAGAAATGGGAAGTACAATGCCTCCACTTTAAGGGAGGGGTTTGGGATATTGGCAGTTTGGAGGGACATCTAAACTGTTGTATCTGAGCACCGCTGCAAAGACAGTGATTATGTATGAGTGATAGTAAAGGTGCTGAATCATGATGAAAGTTTTTTTTCTTTCTTTTTTGGGTCACCCTGCCTCGCTGGGAAACGGCCGACCTGTTAAAAAAAAAATTAATCCCCCCCCTCTCCCCAACACCCTAGCAATTACTTCTTCTACAACCCCATCTATAAATATGTTAAACAACCATGGTGACATTACACATCCCTGTCTAAGACCTACTTTTACTGGGAAGTAATCTCCCTCTCACCTACACACCCTGAGCCTCACTATCTTCACAAAAACTCTTCACAGCATTCAGTAACTTAATACCTATTCCATACACATGCAACATCTGCCACATTGCTCCCCTCTCCACTCTTATCATATTTCTTTCTTTCAACGCACCGGCTGTATCCCACCGAGGCAGGGTGGCCCAAAAAGAAAAACGAAAGTTTCTCTTTTTAAATTTAGTAATTTATACAGGAGAAGGGGTTACTAGCCCCTTGCTTCCGGCATTTTAGTAGCCTCTTACAACACGCATGGCTTACGGAGGAAGAATTCTGTTCCACTTCCCCATGGAGATAACAGGAAATAAACAAGAACAAGAACTAGAAAGAAAATAGAAGAAAACCCAGAGGGGTATGTATATACAGTGGACCCCCGGTTCACGATATTAATCCGTTCCTGAGAACTCATCGTAAACCAAAATTATCGGAAAGCGAATCAATTTTCCCCATAAGAAATAATGGAAATCAAATTAATCCGTGCAAGACACCCAAAAGTATGAAAAAAAAAAACTTTTACCACATGAAATATTAAGTTTAATGCAATATAATAATTACAATAACAATAGAATAATATGTAACAAAAGAATAATTGGCACTTACCTTTAATGAAGATCTGGTGATGATTGATGGGATGGGAGGAGGGGAGTGTGTGGATGGTGTTAGCATTTAGAAGGGGAATCCCCTTCCATTAGGACTTGAGGTAGCAAGCCCTTTTCCGGGGTTACTTCCCTTCTTCTTTTAATGCCACTAGGACCAGGTTGAGAGTCACTGGACTTGTGTCACACAACATATCTGTCCATAGATGCCTGTACCTCTCGTTCCTTTATGACTTTCCTAAAGTGTTTCACAACATATCAGTGTAATAGTCACCAGCACGGCTTGCAATAGCTGTGTGAGGGTGATTTTCATCCATAACGGTTTGCACTTCAAGCCACTTTGAACATATTTCCTTAATCTTTGAAGTAGGCAACTTCTTCAATTTCTCTCTCCCCTCCTCCGAAGCAGTTTCCTCAGGTGTGGCCTCTTGCTGTTGAAGATGATCTAGCAGCTCATCAGTGGTTAGTTCTTAATTGTCCTCCTCCACCAACTCTTCCACATCCTCCCCACTAACCTCCAACCCCAAGGACTTCCCCAATGCCACAATGGATTCCACAACTGGCATAGGCTTCTCAGGGTTAGCCTCAAACCCTTCGAAATCCCCTTTGTCTACACATTCTGGCCACAGTTTTTTCCAGGCAGAGTTCAAGGTCCTCTTAGTCACTCCCTCCCAAGCCTTACCTATAAGGTTTACACAATTGAG